CCGTGCGCGCCCGCGCCTGCGCTCTCGCCGCCGCGCGCCCGCTCTGTCTAGGAAACGGCACCGCGCGCGGGGGGAGAGGGGGCGGGGCCGGCGCGCGCACGAGCAGACGCAGCGCGGGCTCGTGGAGTGAGGGCTGAGGGGTGAGGAGTGAGGGCGGGAGTGAAGGGAAAGGTGGGAGCGCGGGGCCCGGGCGGCGAGAGGAGAGGGGAGGTGGCAGGACAACCTGCGTGGGGGCCACCCGGGCTTCGGACTCCCGTTGCGGCGCCCCCGTGGCCTCCGCGCCTCACCGTGCCTCGTGAGTCCCCTCTGAGGTCAGAACCCAAGACCCGGCCGGCCCGGCCTGGAGGAAACACCTGTCCTCACCACCCGGAGGTGTCCCGCAGGGCTGCTGCAGGACAGGGTTCCCCACCTCACCAGACCCCATACATTCCCCCCGGGGATCCCGTGACACACTCCTGACGCGGACCATGCGTGACCACGCGTCACGGGGTGGACCCGCCCCTGAGGGCTGTGCCAGAGCCAGGTCCCGGGTGGGCGTGCGGTGGCGCGGGCGTGGGGTCGCACCCGGACACTCTGCACGCGGTCTCCTGGGTTGAAGTCCTCACTCTTGAACACACAGCTCTTCCCTCTGTCTCAGGTGCTGCTGAGAACAGTCATTAAAGCAGCTTCTGGGTTCTGAGTAGCCTTTGCAATTTTTGATGAAAATAGAGCCAATTCAAGCTGAAATAGAGCCATTTTCCTAAGCGGTTGTGGCCTTTTCATGGTGGTGTGCAGCGCGTTTGAAAGTTTGGAAAGCCTTAGTTTCTAGAACGCCAAGTTCTTGGGGCCTAGGGCGCCCCTGACAGCCTTGATTTCTGGGTCTCATAAGGAAAATTTTGTGTTGTTGTTTTTGTTTGTTTGTTTTTTGTTTTTTCCTGTTAGGTTGGGTGTACTCCCAGGAATACACCTTTATCTTTCTTGGCTGCGCTTCCCACTGTAGTCTTTCTAGTGAAATAATGGGATTAGGGTTGAGAACACCAAAATCCAGGTCATAGAACTGCCATGGGGGCTTGGACCAGGTTTTTCTTAGACATATCACCATCCAGATATGGAGTATTTAATTTTGGCAGACTGGCGGGAGGGGGAGTAAAGTTCTTTCATCAAGCTTTGCCCTACCTCACTTTTCAGCATTTCTTAACCAATTCTAATCTTTTAACAGTGGAATTTCAGAGGTAAAAAGCTCTTGGAGAGGTATTTGTAGAAGTTGACTGATTTGACAAGATATTTTATATCAGTAAAAGGAAGAATTATGCCCTGGAAAAGGGAAAGAGAGGTAAGTTAAGGAAACTTAATGTAGGATGCATAGGATGGGAAGCATAGTTTTCTGATAGGTGGTGGCAACATTTTAACAACACTTGATACCCGTGGCATAGCTGGCCCAAGTTATTGTCTCATCCATTTCCCCCCAATTGGCAGAATACTACTTAAGATTTGATTAAAATCATTGAAAAGCATTGTTATAATGCTAATTAAATATAACAGTAGTGCAAACATTTTGAAATTTGCAGAGAAAAATTTAAAGACCACTTTGGTTTAACTGGGCTGGAATCTTTGTATTTGCATATTTTTTAAAAAAATTCAAGTGCATGCAACTTTAAAGGAACTTTTTTCTACAGTAGCTCTATAAAGATCTTCTTGAGAGAAATTTATATGAAAATTGTAGTACATGCTGATATCTTTTACCCATGTCTTTAAAACGCTATTTTCCTCTTTCTTCCTGGAAATTGTGGGTGCCACCATTTTCTGTTGTAGTGTGAAGTTAAAAGAATCCCCAAACACCCATGATTTGTTAGTTCTGTGTTTCCCCCTGGTGGTGTCCTACTTTTACAAAACATACCCAAACTAAAATCCTTCCTTTGATATAGTATTCTTTAGTATGTTGAAAACAAAAATCAGAGAGGTATAAAGTGCCAGTCTGTTTTTTCTAAATTTGGCCCACTCTTTATTTTTTCATTTTTCTTTTGAAATCCCCTAAATCTGAACTCCTAGAGGAGGATTAGCTCTTGAGACTGATCAATTTAGAGGAACATCAATTTAGAGGAGATCTATAGGATTCCCTTTTGCTTGGAGCATTATTCTTCAAGTTGGCTTGGTCTTTAAGAGTCAATGGGGAGTATATTTTTAAAATGAGACTGAGGAGCTTCATCTGAAACCTACCGAAGCTTAATTTCAGAGGGTCTACTTGTGAATTTTGTTTTTATCTGCCCCAAGACATTCTTATTTATGAAGGAAGTTAGGGAATCTGAGAACTGCAAATGATGTAGGCGTTGCTTCAGTAGAGGGCATTTGTGAGTGAAAGAGCTATGTAGCAACCGGATTGTAAAGCACATTTGGAAGAAACTAAGCTTGGTGTGTCCATTTCTTGCAGATACACCTGTTTCTAATTTTTGGAAGTAATTACTATGACATCACAAACCCACATGCCTTTTGAGGTAAGTCAGATTTTCTTTTAGTTAAAAACTGTCTTTCAAGAGTACAGGGATCACATAAGCAGAAAATTTGTACATATACACAGCTGCAAGATTATGGGAAGACAGATTGGATAGTGTGTTCATAACCTAGCAATGCCTGAGAATGATCAATATCAAAGTTAAAATTACTGCTCTTCTGAGGTAGCTACTTGAAAACAATAGAACATAAGAGTTTGATCCCATTAATTTGTGAAAATGTGAATAATTTCCCAAGTCCTTAAATTATTAATATTTGTATAACTGCTAATACTTTAAAAGCCATCATACCTGTTGATTTACAGTATAGTTTCAGTTGTTTGTGATGTGCAAGGAGGCCTGAGTTTAATGCTTGAAAGTGGAATATATATATAACTTTGTGTGATACTTATTTTGAAATTCAAATATAATGACTGCTAACAGTTTTTGTATCTTTTAAACCTTACTGAGTTAGCTTTAGTGAATAAATATAGTTCATTTTTAATTCTCAGTATTCATGTGGATACAACAAAAACCAAAGTAGCAAGTACTCAGTAGGCTGTCAGTAAAGCCACATATCTGTGATGTTAGTGATAAAATACGCTTCCCTGAAAAATCACTTGTGAGTCTAAACAATTTCTGTACTTTCTGTTAAGTTTTATTAACACATGTAAGCTTCAAATTAGCACATTTTGCACACACAAGGCCCTGAGTTCAGTCTCTAGCAGTCCCTACTCCTGAAAAATTAGCACATTTTAATTACATATTTCTCCTTTAATAAACAGTATTCCACATGGAAAATAATTTAGAGAATTCCTTCCAGTACAGTTGGCCTTCAGTAAACATAGACAGTTCATATTTCCAAGTAAATTCATACATACATAAATTTATTTAAGTGAATTCATAAATTCAGGGTAATATGGGGCTTCAAGCATAGTTCATTTCTACCACCTTTTTGGGACATATCCCTAATTTATAGCATATTCTAGTAAACAGTGGTGGCATGTCAATTGTAATGATGAAGCATCAAAATTTGATAACTTCAACCTTGTCAGTGTGTGTAGCCCCTTGAACTTTTTATTTGTGTGTATAAGCAATTATCTCACAAACTAAAAGTGAACCTGAAAAATTAAAAACCTTATGATGAAATTTGAAGGTAAAATTTCTGAGGCTAAACTCATGTCTGTTATTTGTATGACAATAGGAAGATCATAAACTTCTGGGGGAACTGATTGTTGAATTCCAGCAATTAGTTTGATATAATTTATGATAATCACATGTGACACTTATACATACTTATGATGTTCTGAGCCACATCCTGATCTTCTGTCTCAGTGTTGTATAAAACAAATGCATGGAGAAAAAAATAAATGAACTTTTAAAGTAGAATATAGATTATTATATATCACATGTCCCCCTCGTTTCCCATGAAGGCCTTAATCAAATGGCAATTCTTATTAATCTTCAGTATGTGGTAATGCCTATAAATTTTTTTTCAGGGGAAACCACAACAAGAGTAGCTTTCATAATTAAAAAATATACAAATGCTTCTCCTTAACGACTAAATTCTGTTCCTGCAGCTAGATTGTTAAATGAAATTGTTGCCAAATGAAGAATTGTATATGATATGTACATTACAATATTCAGAACAAAGAAACAGTCAAAAAAGCTTCAACAACTTGGTGACTTTGCTTTTATTTGCATAACTCTTACAGGCAGTACTATAATGCATAACAGAACAAAGAACTATAGTACTGTACAGTACAACCAACAGAAATTACACATTATAGAAGTTACACAAAGTGAATTATACAAAAAAAGACATTGAGGCTCTAGCATCAAGATATAGATATAGATATAGATATAGATATAGATGTAGATATATTTTGATGATATATATGTATTTCCAGCGAGGTAGCTCAGTGGGCTACAACGCCTGCTTTGGCAAGCTTAGGCAAGTGCAGGGTCCACATGCCGTACCAGCCCCACCCCCAGCTGGCCAGAATCCGGGAATGGTGGCACACACCTATAATCCCAGTGCTGAGGAGGCTGAAAGCTGTAGGCTCACCACAAGTCAGAGCTGCATAGTGAGACCCTGTAGCAACCAAATTCATAAAAAAAGATATATATATATATATATATATATTATATATATATCTTTATATCTCTATCTATAACAGTACAAAAAACAAAAAAGACAAGACAGTTTTAAGTCTAAGCAGTAGGTTGTAAGTCTGAAAAATGAGCCTTGGTTGTAAGTCTGAACAATCATTACACAGGTAGGTTATTAAATTGTTTGCAAACAGAAGCATTTGTGAACCAAGGTATTATGGAGAGCGTTTCATGGTCCTTTCTGGCTGGGAAGTTTATATTTGTAATCCCATAGATAAGTTGTTGGAATCCCATCAAGTTAATTCCAATCTACCACTTCCAGTGCAACTCACAGCTAGAATAAATACATTAAAGCATATTTATAGTTAGGGGAGCCAAGAGGTCATAAGTCCAGCCATGGTGATGGCTCTCAGAACAGAAGCTTTGACCCAGGGCCAAACCCAGGTTTTATACAGTCATAAAGGAGGAGTGGCTTGAGGATGAATGACTGAGAATAGCCTGAAGTAGGTGAGTAGTGTGAGCTGGGTTAGGTAGGAGGTCTGTATTTACCTCTGCAATATGCAGAGAGAAGGATATGCAGAGAGTAATCTGCATTATACAATTGAGAGGGTATCTAATGTTTTGGGGGTCCAGTGTTTCATCTCTGATGTATAATCTTTCAAGCCCCAGAAAGTCAGAGCCTCTATTTCATATTAAAGAGCAGCAACTGGGTGTTACTGGGGAAACACGTGTGCATCTTCAGTGACTACTGCCAGCACCTCAGCTAGACGAATATGCACTGCTTAAAGCCAATTGAAAGGATAATGAAAAGTCGTAGCCAGCTCTGTACATATCAATACATGGAAATAGGGTCAGGCATAGCCAAAATGGAGACAATTGCTCTTCTTTCAAGGAAGTCACCCAGATGATTCTCCACAAGGTATTACTGTAAAGACTTCAAGAAAAGCACAGAATTATTAAATGAAGAATATCTGTAATTCTGTGTTCTTCTCCAAGTCTTTAATATCTCCGTTCAGGAATGCTTCTGTTTGTGAACAATTCAATTCACAAAAGCCTTTAACAAAATTATACTTTCGTTTGAAATTTCACATCAGATGATAAACATGACAGCCACCTTCCCCAAAATACTAAAAACAAATTAAGTACATATAATCGTGTACCACTGTACTTGTGTTTTGAAGGGACTCTTACCTGTCCAGTAATCTTTCAAATATATATATTGTTCATTTAATGACCCACCTGTTTGTTGTTCAGACATAGGCTGCATCCTTTTTTTGTTTAGTTTTGTACATCTTGTAGATAGCGCTTCAGTCTTTTTTGTACAGTATACTTTGTTTATACAATACTATAATTTTTGCTGATAGTACTGTAGGAACTGTAGTTTTATATTATAGTACAGAATGTGAGGGTTATGTGAATAAAAGTCACCAGTTGGAGCTCCTTTGATTATTTCTTTATTCTAAATATTGTAATGTATAGCCTATGTATAATGTCTCATTTAGTGACCAATTAACAACCTAGTTGCATGAATGGAACTCTGTCATTAAATGAGGAATGTTTCTAAAATTCAATTTTCCTTTTAACCAACTTCTAACCTTGTTTTTGGAAATACTAATAAAAAATAGTTTTCCTGAAACTTTAAAAAAGAAAAAGGTAAGGAAGAAGGATAAATTAAACATCAACAAAATGAAACTTCTGCTTTTTACTATGAAGTCTTTTGAGATATTACTAAGTAAAAGAAAGGTTTATATGTTATCTGTATACATTTTTCTGACCTTTTTGTGTATGACTAAAATTGTTAAATTGTTATTTTGATGCCTTTATGGTGGCTACAATAGAACAGGTAGAAGATGTGAACTCTAAATAGCCAATTTACTTGTAATCTATAAGAATTTTTATCCATGGGCAAGCAAGTGAGTAATTATTCTTTTTAATGCTTTGAGGATTAGAGAGAGAGAGCTATATTTTGTTAATATTAATTCTAGATCATTGGTCTTTTTTTTGTTTTTTGTTTTTTTTGCTCCGAATGCCTTCAGGGCAGGTTTGGCTGGCTTGAGTTGTGGGGATCGAACCACAGCAACCTGAGCCTGACTGCTTTGTTGAAACAGCTGCTTAAAGAACTGAGCCAAGGGGCAGGCCACGTAGATCACTGGTTTTATTTAAGACAAAAAGGATTGTCTGCAATATGGAAAATCATGTAATTTTTAATTTTACAGGTCTCATTTCTAATATTTGAGAAGCTTGTATATAGAATTATTTATTTATTTTTTAACGTGTTGAGTACAAGGGTATACAGGGTCTATAGGGTCTCATTACACAGATTGGACTCATAGTGATTCTCCTGTTTTCAGCTTCTCAAGTGCTGGGATTACAGGTGCACAACATCATGCCCAGTTTCAATCGCCATCTCAGTGTGCTCTGGGGGTGGGGCTGGCATGGCACGCTAGGGATCGAACCCCAGCCACTGTGCTCTACCTAAGCAGGCGCTTTAGTCTGCTGAGCTATCTGGTCAACCCTTAGAACTATATTTAATTATGTGGTAACTATTTAAAAAAGGTTATCAGAAACAGCAAAGTACTATAAGTTTGTTAAATCTAAGTCTGGTTTTTGTCGTTGAAAAATTACATGCATCAACTTAAATATGAATAGAAGTTTTAAAATGTTTTGGAGACTAGCAATCTGGAGAAATAAATTATGATGCTTTAGAAAATCAAGGGTGACCATATTTCAGGTAGGTGAAACACTGTCATACTGGGGATAGTGCTGTCCTTTACCAAGATGTACAGGGGAAAGGAAGTAAGAGAAACAAGGTTAGAAGTTGGTAGCTTTGAAATTAAGTACTTTTTTACTGTCTCACTCTAGATCTTCTAAGTAGTGATTATCTACCTAGCATA